AGTTAATATTGCCTTAATGAACAGTGATTAAAAAAAAATAACCTGTAAAACGCTGATGTTAAATGCGACGTGTTTGAAAATTTGGGTGCACCTAACTTTTGTGCTGGTGCACCTAAGAAAAAATTTTAGGCGCACCAGTGCAACCAGTGCAAAAAGTTAGTCTAGAGCCCTGGAGGGTGAACGGCTGGTTGTCAAGTTCCATCATTTCCATCGTTAAATTGCTTGAGATCTGCGTCCTCTGGCAATTTTATTGGATTTGTCAAAAGCCTCAGCAATGATTTAAGTCCTGATGCGTTCTTGAACACTAGCTTGTTGCTGTTAGCATTTTAGCAGACGGACTTTGTGCTGCGTTCAGGCGGTAACGGACATTACGTGTTCTCCAATTGGGAGTAGTTGTTCCAGCCTTTTTTTTATGTTTATAATTATAAAGTTTGTTTATAACATACAGGGTTAATTGGTAAAATAATATTAATAATTCTTAAAATGACTGGTTGTTTCTCAGCATGGAGTATTCTAATTATTTTTATAGTGAGAAAGCTGTTTTTTCCGAAGCTACTTGAACGTTGCTCAGGTCGTGCCAGACGGGAAGCGGCTTGACCAAAAAGGATAAAAATAAACACGCATTCTCATCGCCGTGATGGCAAACGTGCATATATTTTCGGTTCTGTTTGTTATGATATCGGACCGATAAATGTGATGTCATAATTCCCTGATATCGGGCCAATAACTATAGTGCACCCCTACTTTGAATATAAAAATTGTTTTTTGAAATTGAATGTCTCACAGCCACGTCAGTGGGTGCAGATGTCTTATGTCTTGTGAAGAATGTAACAAACAATTCTCTTGCTCTCTCACCTGGATAATAAAATAGTTTTCTCACTCTTTACAAGAAAACAACATTTAGTAGTGGATGTTAAGTGTTGACTTTGTTTAGTCCTAAATGTAATGATCTTCTGTATCATTTTTCTGTTTTATTTATTTGTTTAATTATTGTTTGTTTTGCACTTATTTAATTTGCATACCCAGTCAGAGGAAGGTTTGGCCTCAGGTGGCCTCATTGATGTTTTTGTGTACAGATGCATTTAAAGATAAGAAGTGTGAATTTGTTTTATATATTAGTTTTTAAGGAACATAAACCTTTTGTGGCCTGTACATTGCCTTTTTGTTTTCTTAGGCCAAAGTAGGTTATTGCTGCTGTGGCTAATTGTGTACTAATCTTTAAAGAGGCTAAATGTCACTTTCATACTCTTGTTAAGTAGGAACAGTGTTATACAGCAACCTAACAGTGACCTTTGAAACTAATCCAGTAAATATTCATGGACGTTTGTTTGAGAACTATGACAAAGGTTGACCCAAGAAAAATTACAGTTTTCATAATTCTAATTTTAAAACATTGTTTTTCTAATGTTGATTTTTACTCCAGTTGCCTATAGTGAGTGAAGCCAGTACAAAACTTTTTTTTATCTGTAGATGTACACTAGTTTTCCACCTGGGGAGAGGCTAAAAGCAATAAAAGTTTGAGGTATTGCTCTAGTGCTTTTAATTATTATGGCCCCCGCACACTAAGTGTAAGCGGGAGTCGTATTGTTTTTGTACAGTTTATTTATTTATTTTTTTGTTTGTTTATTTTTTTCAGTGATTTTTGGTCAACCGTAGCACAAAACAGCTGCACCAATCAACATGAAATTTGGCAGGACTGTAGATGAGTCTGTCCTACACTGCGCCAGGCAACGGTTTTATGAAAGACCCTATATTTGAGGAGGGGGCTCCTTTCAAAGTGGGGGTGTCTGGACATACAAAAACATAGGAGGTTCAGATTTCTTTTGTTGTTTAGCTCTGATGAGGGGCTATCCATCAGGTCAGCCAATGAGCACCCCACCACACCCACATCTCCAAAAAAGACCCCCACCCAAACCAGTACAAATTTGGGATGCACCTGGTAGCATGACATTTATTAGGAATAAAGACTTCTGAGTTCTGGTGCATTGGTGCATGCGGGGGTCATTATGTTACCGCCATGCAGTATCTAGTTTATTGTTTTTGTTTGTGAGGTATGTATGGGAATCTTGGAATATCAATTTCCTATTGCAGAATTCACTTAAAGTTTCCCCAAAGTTCTTACAATATCGCATTCGATTGTGCTGTTGAATGCTATTTTCAAAGTTTGACCAAATCAACTGTAACTCTTTTATT